CATATATATCGCAGGTAAAGTATGAGTAACAATAATTTCGGTTAGGTCTTGCACTATAATTTATAATCAACTTTCATTTTGTCACCATATTAACAGCGTTTTATTTGTACATACACAATGCTTTTTCTATGGTAATGTAAGTGAGCATTCCCAAGAAGCAAATTAGGTGGACATAAGAATGATGATCTGGCCCCTGATACATGTAATTGTACAGTATCTTTGTCAGGGTTGTGTATTGGGATAAAGTGATTTATTGTTGCATTTTATTTTCGGTGTATGCTTTAAGCCCTCATGCATTACGTGGTGTTAGTGTTGCATTTTATTTTCGGTGTATGCTTTAAGCCCTCATGCATTACGTGGTGTTATTGTTGCAATGTGTGTGCGCTCGTGTATATAATTCATATGTATGCTAACATGTATCTATCTATATATTTGAGTATCATTGTCCAGTTTTTTCTTTTTTTCTGAAATTTCATTGCTAGTTTCTTTTACTTCCACTTTCACATTTCTATTAGGGCTCTCATAATGTGTCTATGTTGTTTCTGAACTTTGGTATAAAGGAATTTTTTTTCCTTTTGTGTTTATTCTGATGCAAAGTAATCCATGATCATTTCCGAGAGCTTTTTGTTTAGCCTTCCTATCAATATTCTCTCTTTCTGTTTTTATGTGTACAATTTATTACTGAGGCTTATTCTATTCTCAATACTCTTTTCAGCTGTGCCCGTGGCAGTCCAAAACGACAGATTCTGTTTGATAAAACTGGACGCTTTCAGGTACTGTCAATTTTCTACTGTGAATTGCCAAAACCTTATTTTTGATCATATGAGAATGAAATTCCTTTTGACATGCGTGAATTAGTAAGATGACATTAGCAATCTTACAATAATGGTTGGCAGGCTCCTTATTTAGAAGATCCAAATACCGGGGTGGAGATGTTTGAAAGTGCAGAAATTGCAGAATATCTGAAAGCAACATATGCGCTATAATAAGCAAAGCTTTCCACAGGCATGTGGACTTTTTTTTATTCTTATGATTTTGTTTTGTATATTTCTCACATTTTCTGTTAAATGAAAGTGTATAAGTCATCGTCTTATTCCCATACAAAAATACTTGAACAGCTTTTTAGATGTATACAATTTTTTTTTGTTCTTTCTAGTGGAAGGAATTGTTTTAGTTTGGTGCTATTTGTTAAAATAGTGTGTTGCATGACATGATCCAGTAATATTGTTAGATACTTGCACAGAGATGTATGTATGCTTGAAGTTTAACCTTAACGTTTTTGAATGATATTGTAACTTTCTGTCGGTGTTAGCTGGGAGTTGGATTTCTTACAAATTACAGACTCATCTTAGGTGGACTAGAAACATTACCCAACAAGATCGAATGAAGAAAAATGTTACACAACCAAGAAAGAAAATTTGTGTTGCTGTTGATTTCCTAAAGAAATTGTTAAATCTAGATCTCTCGAGTACTGATGCCCTCCTAGAGAAAATGTTTCTGCTATAACTTCTGCATCTCTTCCATCTAATTTGTCAAAACTCTGTACTGTCAGTATACAATGTAATTAGTTTTGAAGGTTGTCTAAGAAAAAAAGTAGTGCTGAAAAGGAAGCGTGGTGTGTGATCTCACATTGTGGGGACTGAAAGTATATGGTGCATATCCAAGTGGAGCCTTTTACTTTGGGTGGAGAATCTCTATCTCAGGTTTGAAGCTGAGAAAAAAAGAGTTGTCAACGGATAACTTCTAATCTGGCCATACTTTTGTGGCAACTGGGGGTATGTTTGTTAGCAGGGCATCTACTACCAGATGTCCCCCAGCTTTCATAAAGAGGATGTGTTCAAGCTTCATGGACATGCTTTTTATGCCCTTCACTTCCTGCTTACTCTGACTTCCAATTTGTAGGTACAGTCCAGTCTAATCATGCATATGGGAATGTTCAAAGGCCAATTATGGGTTGCTTTGTTATCCTGCGGTCTTATTGGTTCTCATCTTCATGATATTAATTTTGTTTCCATAAAAAAAAATTGATCATATGTCAATTGGACACCATAAACCAACACTTGTCTATATTCAATGGTCGTTGAACTATTTTAGTGTCACATGTCTAAGTATCCCTGTATATTGGTTAATTAAGGTATTAGCCTCATTATCAAATACGGGAAAAAAATATTTCATTTACTATCCTTTAGGAAGAGACATGGAAAATAATTTCCTATCAAATTCTTTCTGCGAACTGAACGAGACCTTAGGCCTGACTCTCTAGTTGTGGGTTCGTTTAAATCATGTTTATGTGTCGCAACGATCTAAAGATTCCACTAGCGTAGCATTATCAGCAAATGGTTCCAACTTTCTAGGTTGACACAATCACACATAGATTGGTTTTGAATCCTACAATATTCTCCAAAGATTTTTTTTAAAGAGAAACAGATGAGGGAATATTGAAAGTGCATATGTAATAGGATTGGAATGTTTATGTTCATGTGACATTTAGATAAAGCTTAGTGGCCTGTTTGGACAACACAGCAGAATACTCCAGAACAAAGGTAGAGAGGGAGGGCCTATCATTTAACTTTCGGACGCATGGGACCAGAAACCCATTAACAGTGCAACAAGTGGGTATAGTTTGGGATTAGTGATTGTTGGGGGACCCCATCAGCATTTAGAAGCCAAACCGTGTGTAGCAGGGGAAGGTAGTACTTGTCCTGAAGAATAAAGCTGAGGAAGGTATTCTGAAAATAACTGTTTTGGGGAGAGAATATATATATACATATATATATATATATCCTTGGTGTTGCCCACACCATTTTTTCTGTTTTAAATTCTGAGCTTTCTAGGCTTATGTGGGTTAATCTGTCATGGAAACAATGAATTGGTCATCCTTGGTGCCTTTCTTTAGTGGGTAGTGGGGTAGGTCGAAAGTTAAGGTTGGCATTTGAATAAGACCAAAAACACCCAAGCTGAATTGGTCTTCTTGATGCATGTATTCCTCATACAAGTTAAGTAGAATATCGATCATATGCATTTAATGGGAATGTCTAGAAACTAAAATAAGGAGAGAACCCTGCTAGAGTTTTGCGAGATTTAATCCCGATCCTTAATGTATGTAGAGCACACAATACATCAATTATTAAATTCAATACCTTACATGCAGAGCGCACAATACATTAATTATTAAGTTCAATACCCTACATAAACCGGATTCTAACATTTTTTTATTGCGGAGCTATGGCATTGATCTTCTAATTTTCCTTGTTTGCTTCACATAATGCATACTTAGGTAAAACTTGAGTTGCGTGCCACTTGGTGAAGTGTGGATATATGATTATAAAATGATAAAAAAAGAAGAGAAAAAAACCCACTTGTTGACCAAGAGATGGTTGTGGTGGTGCTCCGGCCATTAAGTTTGTGTGTTTGGTTATATGTGTTGGTTGGCCCACAAATGTGACATGGAATGGAACCACTGTTTCATTTATTAGTTGTGAACCATGGCCACATTCTGTGTCCTCTTCTGCTCTCTATCTTGAAGCTTTCCATGGAAAAGCCTTCACATTGTGTGTTTCACGTTTACCTTGTTTTTTCTTTCTACTTATGTTTTTCGCAGAGGAACCTTTCAGCATATATTTTACAGCGTTTTCTTTCTAGAAGATTATATTTTATTTGTGAAGAACCTTATTTAAAAGGCTTTATTTAGGCCTGCAAATGTGTCGCTCATGGAGGCTTGCCTCAGGTTTTCTTTCTAACAATAAACCAAGCGTAGTCTTGAGGCTTTAAAACCATGGTAAGATTTTGAATCTTGTCATCTCGTCTCCAAAATTTGAAAAAAGAACGAATTATAGTCATACATTTGAATTTAGACTCTTATTTAGATACGGATGATGTTAAAATCAATCGCTCACACGCGTGTAGTCAAATTCTGATTATTGATGCATTATAAACTTTATATACAACAATATTCAGTAGCCGCCCGCACAACTTATTTAATCTTTTAATAGAATCTGAGGTGCAAAATTGAATTTTAATTTTGGACATTCAAATTTTTATATTCATAGATTATGAACATATGCATAAGTACATTAACATAACCACAAACCAATGGTGTTAAACTTGACCATCTCTCCATCATTTTAGTAATTCCGGGTTGGCATCAAAACTTATTATAAGAATAATCAAATTAACTTTTCTGCCTTCCGGAATGAATTGGTACACAAACAAAATGAGTGGTCGAAACTTTTTTTTTTTTTTTTTTACTTATAAATTTTTCAGTGCGCACCCGCACCAGGCATCAACTTTATAAACCCAAAAAAAACATACAAGACATCAACCTTGACGTGGCCATGAATTTTGCACAGTTTCTAAATTTTAACCCATGAATGAAGGTGAATCATGAAATAGGCCCCAACCAAAAACATGTTTTGTTCAATCATCTCCACTACGTGATGTTAAATTAGAATGTTTTTGCCCTATAAAACTTGTATTGAAGAACGGAATGTTTCGCATCTTAAACTTTGCTTTACAAGAAGCAAATATTTTTATTTTTGTTAATACACAAGTGATATAAAGAAATAGAGAAACATCGGACCTCGAATGCAGGTTTTTTTTAGTTGTTATTCAACCCTAAAAGGGTTATTTTTACAACTTCTCATATATCCAAGGGCTTTATAGCAAAACACAAAAAAAGACAAATCCAGAGTTCTCTAATTAAGGATATAATTAGTTATTAATCACAAAAAAATCCAAACAACAGCAGAAAGGAATAGGAGGCAGCAGCAACAAGTGTATAAATAGGTAAAGACATCAAAGCTAAGGTGCTCCAAGAGTCTCGAGAAATAACGTCTAATTAGCAGAGAGTTAGCCTAAAGTTAGCAGCCAAGGTGTGCGTATATTCAAGGTACGTATAGCAAAACCACAAGTTGAAATTCAATCACTGATCAAATCCATAGAAGAAAATTACAGTTGGATATAAAAACTACTAAAATATTTCTGTTTGATTTGCATGTCAGGGTAGACAAAGCAATAGCAATAATGGCCCTTAGAATTTGCTTCTTGTTCCTTGTGATAGCTTTGCCGCTTGCAATTAGCACTTCAACTTCTGTCCAAAACGGTATGATATCTCTCTCATTCCCTCTAACTTCTTGGGCATTTAGATTATGTTTACTAACTCCCCTATTTGTGAACTTGAATGTTCTCTCTCTCTCTCTCTCTCTCTCTCTCTCTCTTCTAGTTCGGTTTCTGCTATCGATAATGGTAGATTTTTCCTTCTTTATTCAACAACTGTCATACATGAGATTTGAACTTACGACTCTTCCAACTGTAATCGTTTACAAAGTGACAGAACAAACAAAGGAGCTAAGCTCTTTTTTTCAAAGATGTATGCATATTCTTGCCATAGGTTTTCTCTATATACTACATGGTAATTATGTATGCTATCTTACCAGCATTGCCGTGAAAACCAAAAGCACCAATTGAACTCTTTTTTTTTTCTTTTTCTTAATTGCTGAATTAAGCATAGTTCTTGTCATATTATTTAATAATTTTTGTTTTTGTGTGTTGTTTGTGTGTTTGAAATTTATCTATCCGCAGGCCTGAGTTCACTTTCATTTAGCTACTCTGGCGCAACTGGCCCAGATAAATGGGGAAGCTTGAGCCCAAATTTCTCAGCATGCTCAAATGGGAAGATACAATCTCCTGTGGACATCGTGAAGGGCATACTTACCCCTAGCAAGAGATTAAAGCCATTAACCAGAGTCTACGGTGCTTCAAATGCCACTTTGTTTAACAATGGCTTTAACATTGGGGTTTGTTCTTCAACTTCTTCCACACTGACACTACGCATCTTCTCATGTTCTTCTTTTGGTGACACAGATAGTTTGTTTGGTGAGAACTTATTTTAATTTTACTTTTTGGTGAGATGGCTTGACACATAAAGGGCTCATCAAATAAGTCCAATTGGTAAAAGTTAGATGGAAAGTACCTTCAAATTTTAAAAGGGGATTGCATTCTTTTTATTTGTGTCATTTATGTGAAAGTATGAATTTCTACTTTTCTGCCAATCACAGTTTGTGTATATAAATTATTTTGTTTATATGTTTGATGAATTATTTTTTATATATACGTTAAATTGTGATTTCCAGAAAAGAATAGTGTTTTTTTTTCCTCAATTCTTTGCCCATAAGGGGTGCAATCTGGGTGGCAGAATGAAATGTTTGGTTGGTTGGTCATGTAAATAAAGTGCCATGGCACAAGATCAACTTAGGTGTGCATGGGTTTTCTCTATGCAGGTGCATTTCGAAGGACATGTGGGGACATTGGATGTGGATGGTAAGAACTATGACTTGAAGCAGATGCACTGGCACTCTCCCTCTGAGCACCGCCTTAATGGAGTCCAGTATGTGCTCTGTCCCATTCTCTCTGTCAAATATCATCTCTTCTATTTTATCCAAAATGAGTGGGATACAATTATTTCTACCCATCAATTGAAAATGTGTTGTACCATCTCTCTAATAATGTTCCAACACACACATGTGAGTCCCGCTTTAATGGAGTCTGTCCGTATTAGAAAGATGGTACAATATATTTTCTTGAGTTATATGAGAAAATCCAAAAGAGTATACTAAATAAATGTCGATGATCATTTAATTTAGTAGCACTCAGAAACGTACCAAAATAAGTGTTTGGTTGGCTGCGAAATTTTGAGCCTAAATTAAGGTTGTGTTGCAAAGTCTGGAGGGTATATATGAAGGCAGCCCAGTAATTAAAGGTCATATGTGACACAATCCTTATAATTTGAGGGGAGATTTTAGCCAGGCCTTGGAAAAACAAAGTAGTCTTTAAAACTTACAAGAAAAGCAGCAAAAAGCTTATAGGCATTTCCTTAACTGCTACAGATTTCCAGCTGAGCTTCATCTACTTCACCAGGCATCTGACCAGAGCATGTCCGTTGTGTCAGTTCTCTTCCAATTCGGCAAGGATGATATAATCATCTCTAAGGTAGAGTTCTTCTCAACATGTAGTTATCTATCTATTGTTCTTAAAGAAATTAAGTGATACTTGTCGATGAAATGAAAATTGAAATCAAAGTTTTAAGTGATAATTAGTATTCAGGTCTTGATCCGAGTTTTGGAATCCAAGACTCGTAGCGTGCGGCTTAGCACTAGACCTTCAGAATTTAGGGTTTAGAGTTTAGAATTCGAGCTTCGGAATCTGAATTTAAGTTCATGACTTGGTTTGAACTTTGAGTGCAGAACTCAAAAGTTTGGGCTCTAGCAAGGGCTTGGAAGAGGTCATATACAAATGTAAAATGAATTTTTCTTCCTTCTACTTGGGGAGAATGAGATTGCTTGTTCCCAAACTATGTATGCCAATCAAAGTCACCAAACAAATAAATTGTCAAGCCATGTGAGGTTATGTTGATTCCATTACAAATTCATTCCAAAAAATCAAAACATTACATCAACAGGTTCGAGAAGGATTCTTGGGTTTAAGGATAGTAGAGAGAGATTTGATAATATTTATCGCTAGAATTGGCTAATGCAGATTAAGGACAAGCTGACTGAGCTGGCCAAGGAGACGTGTAAAAAGGAAGAAGATGCTCAAATTCCCCTTGGAACCGTAGATATCAACGAGTTCCAGAAGAAGAGCCGCAAATATTTCAGATATGTTGGTTCTCTCACCGTTCCTCCATGCACCGAGAATGTCGTATGGAACATTCTTGGAAAGGTACTTACTCGTGTGCGCGCACATACATACATATATACTTATTTATTGATACGCATCCCTAATTTGACTTATTCATTCATGTAGGTAAGGACCATTTCCAAGGATCAGTTAAATGCTCTGAAAGCACCATTGGATTCAGCTTGCAAGAACAACTCAAGACCACTGCAGCCTCCTAACGGACGCAAAGTCGAGCTCTACGATGAGCTTAGGGACCAGTAAAATAGTCAACCTAGTTGACATTTACATCAGTGTGGTCAATTGTCATCAGCGTGAGTTGTAGTTAAAGCGAGTCTTCATAGGTGTCACTGTTTTTGGGCTCGAACTTAAGTGATCTATTCACGATCAAGATAAAACTAAGTAGAGGTCCAAATCGACTAATGTTGAATCGTCAAAGGATGAGTTGTAGTTAGGAGAAGTGCGTAATCTAGAAAAGATTGTATTTTGTGTATTTTCTTTCGAAGTTGATTATATATGATTAATATATATATGTGAATATGAAGGAATCCAGCTGAGCAGCTCATATGGATCGATGCATTAAGTTCTTCATGAAACGTATGCCATAGGTATGCATTATTGGGTCAATGACTACTATCTCTTTCAATTTGATTACATGACAAGATTAGTGATTTAAACCACTATAATTGGGTGGCTCATCTAGCTAATCACAACGACTTTGCTTCAATCTTCTCCGCGCCTTGATTAATCACATAATTAATCAACTCGATTAGTAGATCATCCATATATTTATCACTAAACGTGCTTCAAGAAACAAAATAAAATAAGCAGAGGAAAAGAGTTGTGAATAAACTGGCACTATATTGGATAAACATCGTTGTTGTTGAATGTTGATGACGTTACAAAACCAAATTCTTGACCTATAAAAGCAAGTGTTTTATTCCATTTAGAAGGTTGTGAAAACAAGCACTTTTTCTTGTTTTAATAAAATATTAATCAAATGAAAAAGGAAACAAGTACAAGAATTTTCTTTTTGTTCTTTGGTAAGTAGAAGATTCAAGATATCATTTGGATCAAATCTAGGAGAAAACTTGGTTGCAATAGGGATAATTCTGTTTTGCTATTAATTCATGGTCAATAACACTACGCAACGTAGAAAAATTATTACGTGTGTCATAGTCGGAAATAGCAAAACAATGTTATCCTCATTTTATACAAGTATTTCTCCAAAACCAGGCCCAAATCAAAGCCAAGAAACCAAGAGAGAGAGAGAACATGTTAAGGATGATGAAAAAATGTGCGTGAATAGGTGAATTTTTAATGTTGTGAGATCAACTTTTTCCAAGAACATATATTTTAATATTTAACACTAATAGAAGAGTAATATAAGGAGAGTAATTTATGGCTATAGGCAGGCAAGGTGGACATTTTCAATGAGAGTGATGATCTAGTCAATATTCGAAATCATTTACATCATAGATACAACCTTGTAGAGTCAACAACGCTTAAGTCTTCATACTTGACCAGACTCCAAAGCCAAAAACAGAGACTGATGATGCACATATCTAACTCTTTTTTTTTTTTTTTTTTCCCTCAAGTTCATCATAATACTAACTTTCATTGTCATATGGTAGGAGTAGATATATCGGTAAAAATGAAAAAATAAATAAGGTTGTCATACTTATTAACCAAAAAACTTTAACGTCCCCTATGTAATACCCTATATTTCTCATCATGTGATGAGAGATGCAGAAAACTGAAGATAAGGAGTAAAATTATCATGCCAAAGAAATTAAAATGTATTGTATCCGCTACTAAATATTTATCCACTTGTATTAGCGTAATGTCTAAGCAAGTGTTCGACGAAATGTCTAGGCAAGTGGTTTTGGATGTCATGTTATTTGATAATGAAATTGCATTGATATAATTGCTGATTTTATGGTATTTGTAGGTTCCACATTTTCCCCTTTTAATAGGGGACCTTCCCCTACCATTAGATTGACCCTCCATCCATTGGCATTTCTAATGTGGTTGGCGAAAACTCCTTTCGTCCACTAAAAGCCCTCAAATCACATGTGGTCAATGCATGACTACACACACACACACACATGTTTTGATTTTTCCAGTATCATAATCTATAAAAATAATAAACTTAAAATAAATTATTTAATCACAATCGTTGGCGGTGGCGGAAGTATTGGTTGACTTCTGTGGAATATAGACCGTCTAACTTACAAAATATTTTTTATTATTTTAAATCTGGGTAAATATTTTGTATTAGTTTTCTGATAATTAAAAAAAAAAAAGTAAATATTTTGTAACCTACAAATCCAAATCCATCTCAACTCTCATCTCTGACCTATCGCCTATCATTCACAAATCTAAGCTGAACTTGTTTCTGGTTTTCTCCAAAACATTATTATAAAAAATTACAAGCAGATTTACAACTTCTCACTCCAAAAAACATATCTATTTACACAACCTCATCCTCTAATGACCTGGAGAATAAAAATGAAACGGAAAAAAGCAAAGAAAAAAAAAACGAAAAACGTAGAAAACGGTAGGCAAACTATATCTTTTACCTCTAACCCCGGTGGGGGGAAACCGTTATTCAACGCCCCACGTCATCCAACGACAATTTAAACAGGGCGAAGGCGGTCCCACATCGACTACCATTCACGACCTTAACAACCCCATTGCTTCCTTTGCTTACTGGCTGTGGGCCCATTGCTCGCCGTCGGATCAAGAAACCTAGATTCCGAACGTGACCAGATTACGCCACGTCGATACCGGCTTCGCCCACCCACGACCCGGACCTCCGACCCGAAACGAAGCGCTTCATGCCGCCCAGACCGGGTGGTTCGCTCTCCACGCTTTGTCTCGGAAGCGAGTCGATGGACAGCGTGTCGAAATCGTAAGCCGCCGACCGGTCACGCGCTCTCCCTGACATCACGCTGCTGTGTCTCGGAGGCGAGTCCGCCGCCGCGTAGGGCGACTTAGCCGACTTGTCTCTGTGGCCGTGCCGAAATATCGCCCGAAAACTCGCGAAGAAGCCGGTTTTTCGTCTCTCCACCGGCTTGATAGCTTTCTCCATAGTAGACTCGGCCGACGACCTCTGCCGATTCCGAAACCGGCGCTTCCGATCCCTCTTTGATCTCACCCTTCCCATACACGAGACCTTCGGAGACGACGGTTCGATCATCGGAGCGTCCGATTTCCCGACCGATCCGGAGCGTTTGGGAAACAGTCTAGTGTTTCCTGCCTTGCAATTCCTCCGATTCTTAGTGTCGACGTAGTTGTGCTTCTGCGGCTTCGGTAGGCCGATAATCGCAGCCTTGGACTTCAAGTTCAGTGAAAACCTCTGAGAGTTGGAATTGGAGTGATTCGCATTCGGATTCAAGTTATTGGAGTTGGAGTTTCCTTTCGTGGAGTCTTTGCGCTCGTAGAAGGCGTTGCGATCGAACCAATCGTACTCGGCGTCTTTCGAGAGCCAGAAGGATTCCGGAGGGAAATCCGGCGGCACCGCCTGTTCGTCGGCGTCGTCCTCCTCCGGCGGGTCTTGGACTCCGGTGATGGCGTCGGCCTGCGTCTCACAGGCAATTTTTCGATCCATTGAGCCGCCCGCACACGCCGATACTAGGGTTTCCAAATCGACTTGTGGCATAGCGTGGAAAAATTAAGCAGAAATGAAGCAAACTAAGAGAGAGAGAGAGAGAGAGAGAGAGAGAGAGAGAGAGAGAGAGAAGGCTGAGGAGGAAGTTGGGGAAAGAGGAGGAGTTTATAAGAGAGGGAGAAATAAGATTTTATTTCTTTATTTACTTGATTTTATTTTATTTTTGGTTGGGAGAGTGGCTTTCGTTTCAACTTGTTGACTCGTGCGTTTTGGAAACAATCGGTTTTTTTTTCTATAGAGAGAGAGAGAGAGAGAGAGGAAAAAGGGCAAAAGTGGGAAGGAAAAAAATATGTTTCTTTCGTCAAAAGAATACGAAAGCAGATGGTACAAAACGCTGATTTGCTTTTACGCACTGGCTGATTGTCGCTTTCTTGATTCTTTTCTTTTCTTTCTTTCTAATTAATTGTTGTTTTCCTTTTGTTAGTTTTGGCTCGGCTTTGACGATGGCTTGGCTCTTAAAAAACGAAGCTTATTTTAGAGATGTAGAATCAAATTAACCTTTTCTTTTTCTTTGTTTAGTTCTTGTGTAATTGTTGATTGGAAAAGAAACAAACCCTGAAGTTCGTATGCCCACATGAAAAGGTTAACATTCATCAAAACCGAAAACATAAAGCATACTCCTACTATAAAGTGCGTAAATTATTGGATTTACATCTAATAATATGTCTGAAGTTAATTGTGTATCCAATTTAACTAAATTGTCTTCCTTTAGAACTCGGTTGAGAGTGATTCTTCAAAGGCCAAAAAGCACTACTATGGAGAATCATTTAAAGTGGTTTTATGGAGAAGCATATGGAATGTAGTTCTCTCCAAAAGTGATTTTGGCCTATCTAGAGTCACTCATAAACAAACTCTTAGTCTAACTTTAAGCGCGTCCAACTTATAATTGTTGACAAACTAGATTTTAGCTCGTGGTATTTCTCTTTCTCATTATTGGAAAAAGTTTCATGTTTAAATCTGTTTTCCTCTTATGAATTAAATATATATATATATATATATATAATAAGGGTCTTGTACCCCAAAAAAATTTAAAGATTTTGGATTAATGTGAAAAATATACCGAATTAGTCCATTCAAATTAAAATTAATTGTCAATCATTCATCACTATTTAGTCAAAACAATAATAATTCATATTTGTTGTAGTTTATTCGCTCTAAGGAATTTAGGGGTTGAATTGGGAATTAGTGACCAAATTGAAAGTTTGTTTGACCTTAATTTTGATAAGCCATCTTATATTGATAAATTTTATGAGAGAATTGGGTGGTTGGAGTCGTGTATGGTGGTGGCAGGAGCTATGCGTGAGAAAAATAGAAAATGGTATGAGAGAGAGAGAGAGAGAGGTTTCTCAGGTAAAAATTAGATTTAGGATTACCTCATATGTGTTATGTAGTCATGTATTTATAATACTATTTGTCAGCTAGGGTTTGAAGAATAATATTTATTTTATTAGGATTACTATTACCTAAAAATAGGAGATTGGAATTAATAATTGAATAATACTACTCTTACCACATTTGTATACCACATTCACATACCACCTTATGTGGCAGATGAGGTGGACAATTATATCAATTAAATTTATTTAACATTTTATTTTATTTTATGATTTATTAACACTTTAAAAAATATTAATTAACATTTCTTTATTAAAATACACTTCATTAATTTAATTGATGTGACATATGATATGGGCATGCCACATTATGTGGTATAGAAATGGGGGGAAAAAATGGGGTAAGTGTAGCATTACTTTTGGTGGAAATCTCATCCTTGATTTGGGGAGATATTTATATCTTAAATCAATTATAATTCTCCTAATTAGATAGGATTTAATTATGATAATTAATTAACCTAAGAAATTTTCATTTTTCATG